CGGTGGACCGTGAGGCACCCCTTCTGCACCTATCAGCCTGTGTCCCGCTCATCTGAGCTCGGCATCGCAGTTTGCAGATGAGGACACTGTTAGGTGACTTGCTCGTGGTCACAGGCCAGGCCAGCTTGTGGCGGAGCCACCTCTCAGACCCTGGTTGTAGGCATGGCCCCAGGTAACCGCTGGGTGAAGCACCTGCTTCTGTGCGTTGGCCTGGCCCTGTCCACGTCTGTGCCCAGGAGCAGAGCATGAGAAGCAATGCTGGCCCTGCTGAAAATCTGTTACTACTGAAGGGGGTTCGCGGTGAGCAGCAATCCCGGGAAGGACCAGACACGTGACAAGCCACAGGGCACAGCACGGCCCGCCTGTTCCACGATGGGCTCCTGGCTGAGCAGCTACCAGCCCGGCTCCGGAGCCCTGAACGGCCCAGCGGGTGTCGTAGCTCGTCCCTTTGGTGGGTGGGCTCCTCCCTTCACCAACAACCCAGGGAGTTAGCCAGAGGCATTCAAGGGCCTGATGGTGGCCAGTGAGAGCTGTGTCCCCACAGAGCTGCCATCAGGGCATCCCCGCAATCCTGTGACTAATGTCACCGTAATGGCTGTCTCCTTGGAGAGTCTTGGCCACAGGGGAAGAGTTGAATGGTTTCCCTGAATGCATTGTTTTCAGACAACTGTACGTCTTCAGTTGGAGAACATGATGTCATGAGTTCTGGGGAGCTGAGGATCAGCCCCAAAGGCCTAAAGGAGCCGTCCAGCTCTTACCCGACAGCAGAGACCCCCGGCCACCTGCCAGCAGCCAATTACTCTCTAATTAGCAAAATCAAGCTGTGATGTTGCTGTTCTTTTTACTCCTGTACCCTTTGAGGGAACATTGAGAAACAAAGCCTTCCTTTCTCTCATGCCCCTCAGACTTTGCACATAATGAGTTTTTTCTTTTTTAGGTCAGGAGTTATTGACTTAAGTCCCACAGGGCTGGTTGGAAACCCTGTTTCCCCCCAGAAAAAAATAGCTGACCGTTCTCCAACCTGACCACTGGGGGGCAGCATAGCCTCAGGAGCGGCGTTTTGACCAAGTAATGGTGTAGCCTCAGGCAGCAGAGGGGACTTCCCTTCCACATTACTGTAACTCAGGAAATCAGCCCCAAGTGGTGATCTCGAATTTAAGGATGAATAAATGTTTAATTGTAAATGTACTTACATCGTTTTCTAATATAACAATTCCTTGAGGCAAGCGCAATATGAACAATTCATGTAAGGAGAGATGTAAAACTATTAGAGTGCTATCGGAAAAAAAAGGTCCAGAAACAAACAAAAAAAGGTTAAACTAAAATACACCCCACAATGAACCCGGGAACAAAATCATGGATGTTGCAGGTCCTCTGTTCTTCGTGGGGACACAGCTTTTCACCACAACCGTGTCCCCATTATAGCATCCTCTAACTAAGCAGGCAAGCTGCCTCTCTGCCTCTCTGCCATACCCTGGAGTCAGTGCAGGATGAGCAGGAGAAGGCGACGGAGGAGGGGGCTGGCCTCTGTCCTTGGAGAACGCGACCCCCAGGGCAGTGGCTTTGGCCCACATCCCAAGGGGGTACAGACACCACTATCTCTGACCCCTCCTCAATAAACTGTCGCTCAGTACCTCTTGGTAGTTTTGCTAATAAGCAAGTCACCATTGATCAGCCTAGTGTGATGGAGATATTTAAGTTCTCTTTCCACATGTCACCGCGTTGGCTATGTAAGAAGCAGAGACCAGTACTGGACTCTCAGCAGCCGGCCTGGAAGGCATCTGCCTTCTTCCCTCTGCTGCTCCGTGGGCCACAGAAAGAGCAGGGTAGTTCCTGCATACCTTTCCCAGATACCCCAAGGAGCTGAACTCTTTTCAGATTGCAGTATTTGGGGGGGGGGGGATTGGAGGTGAGACATGGGAGCGAAAGACCAGGACAACTTCTTTAGTCCAACCTCAGTGGGAGCGTCAGTGCCTCTTGAAAGCCCCTTTCATCGCAAGTCGGTATCTATCAAGTTCCTTTCTGTATTTTATTTATTTATTTATGTATTTATTTTTGGAAACTTCCCAAAACAAACTCATTCCCCCTCAGGCATGAGCACGGGGGTGGCCTCAGCCTCTGGGCCGAGATGGCCTAGGCGAGTGGGTGGGGCCTCTTGGGCCTTCCTCCCTCCATTTCGAATTCCCCCTTTCAGCCTCTTCCAGGATCTTGTTCACCAAACGTCTCCCTAACTCCACCCTTTTCAGCCTTTCCCCCTACACTGGGGGAAGAAGTTCTTTCCCTGCCTTCTCCCCTTTCCAGCGCCTCTCCTCTCTCCCTCCGTTCAGGGCCGATTTCTTGAAAGAAAGGCCTTCGCAGGTTCTCCACATCCTCGCCTCCCTGCACTCTCTCCCTGCATTAGTGCACGCCCCCACCCCACCCCTGCTCTTCAGAAACAACCCCCCAAAGCTCATGAGTCATCTGCGTGTCACCAAGGACTTCTCACCTGTTGTCCGCACTGCACGCCGCCCCTGTTTCCATGGTGGTGGGTTGACCAGCAACCTGCCCAGCCCTCTCTCCCTTTGAAATTCTTTCTTTACCTGGATTCAGCACCACACATACTTACTCAGACCACATCTCCTCCTGCCTCGCCTCTACTCCCCCTTCAATGTGGGGACTTTTCAGTCCTCAGAGCCTTCACCTCTGTCCCCCTTTCCTGAGCTCTCCCAGTCCTGCAGCTTTAATTACTACCTCGACTCCCCCATGTTTATTTCTCTCCCAGGCTGCGTGCCTGACCTCCCAACGGAGTATTTGTCATGGCCAACAAAAAGTTTCAAAACACAGCCTCCCTATCTCCTTGTCCCAAACTAAGTCCCCTCCTGGCCACCCCTCAGGTCTCAAGACAAGATGTCGGTCACCCTGGACTCCAGCTCTGCCATTTGTAAATTGATTAGACATTGCAAGGAAAGGGTTATGAAATGTCTTTTCAGAATCTTCCCTGTATTCACAGGGACAGTTCTCTACTTAAAGCCTTCATTTCGTCACCTGGACTTTTGAAATGACCACTGACTGGCATCTCTGTCATTCATGTCTCGCTTCCCCACTCCAGCCCAACCAATGTTTGGCCATTAGCTCTTCCCCAAACAGTCCCCCCACCCCCATACAGAAGACACTGGTATCACTGGTAACTCCCCTTCTTGCCCCCCCAAAACAATGGCTGGAGGACAAGGGTAGAAGGGAGAGGAAATGTACATTAGATACCATCTTGTTCCTTTAAAATTCTGTGCCTTATGAATATGTTATGAATTAAAAATAATGTTTAAGTTAAACATTAAATACTACCCTTAAATTTTTTTTAAAAAGCACAGTTTTCAGTTACTTTTCTGCTCAAAACCCTGCGTGCATTGTCTTCAGAACAAAATCAAGCTTCTTCATCTGGTGGGTGAAGGCTCCCTAAGCCATGGCCACGGCCCACCCTTCACTTCCACGCGGCTGCCTGTCTGCACCCCACACACGCCACAGGCAGCGAGCCGTCACTCTGGACGCCATGCCTTTCTTTAAAGCACTCCCTCCGCCCGAGGCCCTTCTTCATACCCATGAGGCCTGCCTTCCCCCCAGCCCAAGCGCCACGGTGCCTTCCCAGATCCTGGCATTTGAATCACCCCTCCCCTCCACTGGTTTCCTGCGCTAAGCACTAGGTGGTTCCCTCAGAGTCAGCCTGAAGTTACTCAGCGTGTGACTGTTCTCATCTGTGGATGTTTCGCACCGTTAGTTCAATGCTTTTCACATGATGGGTTCTCATTAAGAGGTTTCTGAATGTCATTGGCCCTGGAGACGCTGAGGAATTAGAACCGTTTGGGTATGAGGCCCAATGGCATCTCCTTGTCATCGCTGGCGCTTGTCACTGCCATTAAGTACAAAGCTCGATGGGTCTCCTTTAGGTCAGTGCCTGTCCCACTCTAGCCCACCTGCTACAGGAACCCCTGAATGCTGCTGCCATGCCGATTGCCGGGCACCAGCCGAGACCTGCAGGCTGGGTCTCTGGGTTTGGCCCTCTGTAAGGAGGGCAGGCACCCCCGTGACCCTGGGTTCACTTGTCTGAGAGCCTCTGCTCTCATAGAACAGAGCAGGGCTTAGGGAGAGGGGGTGAGAGCCGGAGGCCCCCCTGAGGCTCCTCCAGCCTGCCCCTGCTCCTGTGCCCGGCGCCCCTCAGCCTGTGCCTGCCTTTGCCTCCTGCCCCGGGAGCCGCCTGGCCCGGCCTCCCCTTTCGGGACATGGCTGAGCCCCTAGAGAAGCTGGCGCTGGCACCTCCCGACTGGAGAAGGGTGCCTGAGACTTCACCAGCCGTCTCATCTTTTCTCAGCCTTCTCTCCTTTCCTGTAACTGCTGCAGGCAAGCGATTATCTCTGCCTTGTAGATGTGAGGATCAAATGCTGAGACCTGCCTAAGCCTCTGACATACTAATCGAGTTAATGTCAAAGCCCCATCATCCAGCCTGACTTCCCGATGACCATTTTGTCCATCAGTAAGTCAATCAATTAGTCAACAAGTATATCCTGAAGGCCGATTAGGCGCCCAGAAGTGCCTTATTTAACGTCTGCTGGCTGGGCTGGGCCCTGTTACACTCGGTTCAGTGACCTTACGTTATCCCTGATCTAGGATCTAATTCTGTACCATGCCATCCACAGATGGCCACCCTGTGGTCATGCCAGCTCGCTGAGCCGCATTTCGGCAGCTCTTAGTGAAGCTAAGAGGAACAGGGATAGGCCGGCTCCTCCAATGTGACCAAATGTCGGGAGCCTTAGCTGGACGTTGTGCCTCTGACAATGGTAGGTTTTCCTCGGACTTCCATTGCCTTTTAGTTAGAAATTCTGCAGACAAATATGTGACTCCATGAAAGAAACCTTGTTCATCTCCCCTGCCAATGCATGACACTAAAACCCCTGCTCTCGGCACGCATGGCCTTGGTTTCACAACATGAACTCCTTTCATAGGTTAAAATTATCGTTGACATCCCCACGGCCCTTGGCCCTATACCCCTTCCCAACCAACAGGCAGGCGGAATGGTCCTCTGCCAGAGGCTGTATTTACCAACACTTGTATTTTCATTTTTCTTACAAGTCACAGTAGGAACCATGACCGAATGCAGAACCCAGTTTACTCTTTTCTAACAGTTTACTTTTTTTGTGAACCAGAATGCAAGTTCAATGTGTTTATAAATGTCAACTCAGACGGGAATTTCTGGGCCAAAGTGTCCTATAGGTCACCACATGTTCCGCTATGTCATCGGGGCCCTGAAAAGCAGAGGCATCCATGGAAGACATCACGGGCCCTGCCAGGCTTGCGAGGTGACAGTAGGGACATGTGGCCACTCCCACTCTGTCCAGTCTGAAGCGGCTGGGTTTACTGGGAAGCTCCGGGTGGCCAGTGGCCGGGAGCTAGACCTTTCCCGAGCGGCATTCCGGCCATCAGTGCCCCCTCCACATTGTTCCACACTCTATTTCGGGCTGAATGTCGCACCGCTCTTCCTTTTTCCATCTCATGCAGCCATTAAATAAATGCCCTGGCTGGATCAGAGGAGCCAGGAAACAGAATGTTACTCGATGCGCTATTGACATTGCCCCAAAAGCTTCCAACAACTTCCCCATCAGCATCTCTGGGCGGGCCAGAAAGTTCCAGCGGATTCCCACTGTCCATGCACGCGTTTTGTGAAATGCGATCGGCTCATAAAACCGCCAGTTTTGCTGAGTTATGCCAGACAGAGTCTTCTTAGGTAGCTCACCATCCTTACTGTTGTTCTAGGTGAAACTGCAAATCAATAAAATGACTTTATTATAGATATGCAGGTGGACATGGGGAAAAGTTAATTGACTGGGTCAAGTTCAGAGAAGTTAAGGCAGAATAGATGAAGAACTAAGGTCTAATAATTTCTTCTCGGGCTATAATATATAAAATGTATCTTCTCTCGGAACATAGAACGTCCCACCCAAATGCCATCAAGAAGAAATGAGTAATATGCTTTTCATTCTTTCGGGTTTCACTTTGATTCAAAGGTAACGTTGCTTTAGTTATGTTTACTTTTACTTTGTTCACTTACTAAAGTACCTAATATGCACCAGATTCACTGCTTCTAGACTCTCTTCCTCACTCAATACCAATGTGTTTAGAGCAAGAATCAGATTGCTGTTTAAATACGCTAGCAGTGCGATTACCATGTTCCATTTTTGTTTTTAAAATACCCAGTTTTACAGTCACCCCATGTCTGGTGTTTAAGTTGCTTCTTCTATGTCTTCACAACAACAGATAAAGTATGTATTATGATCCCAACTCTGCAGAAAAGGAAAAGGACTCAACATGTGAAGTAATTAAATTAGCTCAGTGCTCGGCATGTCACACTCTCTCAATATTAGCTAAAATTATCACTTTTCCCCAAGGTCACACAAACTGCTACATGGGAGAATTTGAGTTCAAGCTCAAATACAACAGAATGCATTTGCTGCTATACTCACACTGCTTCAAATTTCAGACTCAGTTTCATGAGCAAAAAGTTATTTGAATCCTGTTTATTTGAACAGCTAGAGCAGATATCATATAAAGCATATTTATCTGTCCATATCTCTAACATTAATTTATGTGCACATGTACCTGTGTGTCATTGTTTTGTTCTGTTTCGTTTTGGGTTTTTTGGTTTTCATATCATACACTTTTGTGTTTTTAAGAAGACCTTTGGACTCAGAAGGAAGCTTTTTGCCTCAGAGGACGGGAAGACAGTTAATGGGGAGGCATAGAAATGTGACATGAAGCAGTCCTGCCCCGAGAAGCACAGGGACTTCCCTAAAGCAGAGGTCCCTGGCCGAGCGGCAGATAGCGGGCAGAGTGACACCACGGTCTAAAATTAGGGCTTGCCTGGAACTGCAGGGCAGAGCATTCGGGGTCTGGCTTATTTCTAAGGGAGGTTTTGGAAAGTGCATCCAGATTTTCCTTTAGAAGAGCTCCAGGATCGTTGGCCTATGAGTTATTCCGAAGAAAGTCTGTAAGAATCGGGACTTTCATTTGTAAATTGATAAATGACCATAGCTTTCACGTGGGGAGAAGGAAGGGTTTCCGTTTGCACTGCAATGGGGAATTCCAGGTCCAGCCCTCCCAGCCGGTTCCCTGTCAGCACTGAGCTAGGGCTGCAAGAGCTCCGGTCAGGCTTCCCTGCAAAGGCCGGTGGCCCGGGGCCTCAGAGCCTAGCAGTCAGTCTTAGTCTCAGGACTTTGACAGAAGACTCAACCTTGATGAAAACTGTTCTAGAACACTCTCGGTGTTGATGCTGAGCAGCAGGTCTTATAGAGCCTTTCCTTGATTTAAAAAAAAAAAAAGATGAATAAGGTGGTCGCACAGAATAAGAGTGATTGAATTGGCCAGCACCAGGCTTTGGAAAGGCGCCTGGAGCCAGAGGTGTCCCTGTGTGATTTTATGTTTATACACAGCATGTGGCCTGTCCGGGCTGCCGCAGGCTGGTGGGCCTGGTGCCCTTTCCAGGGGACTGGGGCACGTCTGAGAGCCAGGATGGCCCATCCCGCCACCCTGCTCACACGTGTGTCCATGTGTGTGGTGTTGGTCTGTCTCCCCTCTGGCAGATAAGCTCCGTGAGTCCAGGAGCACATCTGCTCTGCTCACCGTGTCCCCACCGTCCTTCACAGTCTTGGCACAGAGGCATTCTGTACACGTGTGCTGAATTCATGATTGAAAAAGGGACTTTTTATCTAACTCTTCAAGATCAAGCAAAAACGCTGTTTCCTAGCGGGAGGCCCCTCCATTCTCAGGCAGCCGTTGGCTCTTGCCTCTGGGCACCCACAGCACGCACCTTCTGCTATGACAAAGCTAGGAATCAGGATGCCTGAGGGCCTAGCACCCTGCAGATGAGGGAACAGGCTCAAAAAAGCCTTGTCACGCAGTCAGTGAGAGGTGCCCAGGCCTGAATTCACGGCCAGCTCCATTCTCTTCTGCAAAACCTGCCATCAGATCGCACTGCCGTAGGGTGTTAAGCTTGGTGACATGACTCATCTGTTCACAAGTCCGTGTCACCTGTGGAGGCAGAGAGCACACTTTCCGTCTTCTTTATCTGTAGCACAGAGCATGGCCCCCGCCATCCCACGTTAACCTCTGAATGAAAGAATCTGTGCACAAATGCACATGGGTCTGTCTGGTGACACACAGGGGACCTCCCAGGCTCCAGGCCCCCGGGCTGGCTCTCAGGGGCTGTGAGCACTGCCCACACACTTCCTGCAGAGAGCCACCTGGGCTCTGCCTCACCGAGACCCCGACCATTAGCCCGGCCACGTGTCTTTTCTGTCTCTGCCTCAAGATTCCCGGCCATGAGTGTACTTGGCATATGTCTGCCTCGCAGGGCACCTGCCTCTTTGTGGTCAGTGAAGTGCCATGACTGCATGACACGTCGCTTTGGTATTTGGAGCATACGCTGTTTTTCTTTATTTGCAGCTGAAGTCACTGCTACCAGTGGCTGTCACTCACTCAACAGATGAGCCCATGACGGGCAGAGTCTTTTGGGAAATGAGATCGAGCGTGCTTTCTGTCTTCAGATGCTTTCAGGCTCACGCGGGAGGTGTGATCACAAACAAAACGCAGAACAGTACACACGAGAGGAGAGTCATGTGCCAGCCTGAGTCCGCGTGAGGCCCCAGCTCAGCCTTCAGTTTTCCAGAGCCTAGCGATTCCCATCTGCCTCCAGAAATCTCTGCACACGCTGCTCACCCCCCAGAAGCTGGCGACCTCCCTCCAGCTGTGGGCACAGGGCCTCACAGACATGCTCATGCCCAGGGCCTGGTGCTCTAGACGTGCCCCAGTCCCCTGGCAAGGGCGCCAGGCCCACGCAGCCTGCGGCAGCCCGGACAGACCACGTCCTGTGTGCAAACACAAACTCAGGCAGGGACACCACTGGTTCCAGGCTCCAGGCGCCTTTCCAAAGCCCAGTGCTGGCCAATTCAACGGCTCTTATTCTGTGCGACCACATTATTGTTTGTTTGTTTGTTTGTTTGTTTGTTTGTTTGTTTGTTTGTTTTTAATCAAGGAAAGGAAATACAAGACCTGCTGCTCATCAGCCGAGTGTTCTTCTAGAAAATTTTAATTAAAGTTGAACCTTCTGTCAGAGTCTGGAGACCCTTAAGACTGAAATGGTTGGACTTTGGGGGTGTGGGTAACGGGAGATGGGCTGGTGCACGTTGCCTGTTGAGGCTCCTGGGCCACCAGCCTTTGCAGAGACGCCTGGCTAATGCCTGGACAGGGCCCAGTGAGGGCTCCTGCAGCCCTAACATCTGTGTTTATGGGGAAAAGGCTGGTGGGACCTCTGCCCTGATATGAGCTGAGAAGCAAAGGGTGAAAAGGAGCAAGCCACGCAAAGAGCGAAGGGAAGTCCATTCTAGGCAGAAGAAGCAGCGTGTACAAGTGCCCTGAAGCAGGCAAGGGCTGTGAAAATGAAGGAAGAATGGGACTTCAGAAGAGAGGATCGCATTTAATGGAATTCAACAGGAAAGAATTTAGGGGCGTTCCCTGCAGAGTGAGTGGGGAGCACATTGTGAACAATGTGGCTGCACCCCTGGCTGGAGGAAGGAGGGGCCCGGGAGGGAGGGGGGGGTCACACTGGGAGGTCTCGCTGTGTGATGGGCACAGACGGTTAGATTTGGTTGTTATTTGAAAGCAGGCCCCTGCACAGGCCTCGCGTGGCAGCCTGGGGAAGGCATTCAGGTGAAGAGACAGATGGGGAGGGGCAGTCAGCTGGCAGGCTGCTAAGCCTGAGGAAGGGCTGAAAGGAGGCGGTGGTGAGAGGACCAGCTCAAGAGACAAGTCCCTGGGGGAAGGAACAGGCTATCATAAGGTGGGGGGAGGGCACGGGAGTGTCCAGGACGGCAGTGAGGTGGGTTTCCAGTCTGGGAGGCGCCTGTTCCTTTAGCCAGCAGAGCCACGGGGTCATCGCATGTCATGTAGCCTCCAGAAAACCCCTGTTCACTCCTGAGCGTGAGAGGGCCACCTGGTGCCTCACTGTCATCAGGCAGTAATCTTGACCTCACAGGCCCTCTGCGGTCCTTGAACCCCACCTGAGACCTGCTGTTCTGGGCAGTCACTTAGATTCCCCTCCAGGTCCCTGAGCCACTCCATGACCCACTCACCACCCACAACCACGTGAATGCACTTGGTCTGCAATCTTTTGAACTTGGTTTTGCTCTTGCCTCTTGGATTTGGAAGCCCTGGTCTAGCTCAGCAAGCCCTGCTGACTGTCCCAGCGCATCCACGAGCCCGTCCCTGAGCCCTGACTCTCATCGTGAATTCGAAACAGCCTCAGTATTGGAATCCTGACTCCTCCGCACAACTTCGGCGTCTCCTGTTGCTCAGATCTGAGGTGTCTTCTGCTGCTAGACACGCTCTGGCTCTGCCCGTGCAGAGCATCCTCCAGCCTGGACCCTGGGCAGGTGGCTGGGCAAAGCTGGATTCGTCATCCTAAGGAAACTGCCCAAGCCCAGCAGAGCAGGTCTGCGAGCTAACGGGAAGGCAGTGTGGTCCTTACATAGTAGAGCGACATGAGAGAAATCGTTATCAATCCATTGGACACTGATTGGCAGAATTAATTAAAGAAGGAGGAGGCTGAAGGCAGGAAGCCAAGTGTGAGAGTGTGTGTGCGCACACTCGGGTTCTTCTGAAAAGGAAAACGTCCTTTATGAGGAGGAAATGAAATGGTGAACACAGTAGAGTGTGCAGGATTGGCCGTTGTAGAGAAACTTAATTGTATTGGATTGAACTTTATCAGGAAACCTTTTCCTTTAGACAAATTTGCCTCATTTTGTGAGGCCTTCTTCATTTTCTTTGGTTTAAAATTCAGAAGATGAGTGTATTCCCCTGGATCAAGTGGTCAGGTGCAGCTGGTTAAGAGTCTGCATGGGCTTCCGGAGTCTTTGCACAACTCACCAGCCAATTGTGGGTCCATCCGCTGGCTGAGCCCCTGTGGAGCGGGCACCCCGCCCCTACCCCCATTTTCCTCCTCAGGCACCGTCCTCTCAGCGCCAGGCTCCCTGGACTCAGGGTCCCCAATATACCCTACAGCCTAGGAAAGTGTTGCTGGAGTCTGCTGGAGAACCTGTTGAACTGTTTTCAGGGGCTTTCCTCCCCCACACTCATTTTTGCATACATATTTGCATTTGAAATATTTTTTTGAACTTTCCAAATTGTAAAGGAGTCTCAAATGACAGTTCTCTTATATCCGATGGGTTGAAATGTACTCCGTTAGCAAGTTTCATCCCTGACGTACAGTGGTGGCAGCACAGAGGGATTTAATGCTTTCCTTAGCATCACCCAGCGAGTTGGGAGAAGCAGGGACTGAAGCCACCCGGCTGACCTCCAGGCCCGTGCACTGACCCTGAGCTAATGAACATTCCCTTTGTGCTTGGTGAGCGTTGGGTTCTTCTGGGAGGCCTGTGGGTCAGTCTGCCACCATATTAGGCAACTCTGACACGTAGTCTTATTCCTGCAGAGTCTACTTTCTTCCTCTCAAACGTGGTCTCCACAGATGGCTACCAGTGATGTTTGAACTGCCCAGGGGATGAGACAGATAGCCAAAAATACACCAATTTTAGCAGAAAACACTGACATCAGCAGCAGCTGAGCACCACCAAACCTATAAGGGCACTCATTACTCATCTCTGGGCCTGTTGGGTAGGCCAGGTGTGCGGCCCACTTGAGCATATTATGGGGAGGTTTTCCAGGCGGGGCTTCTGCGGGAGCCCACGATGAGAAGAAGCAGAGGAGCTCAGCACCCAGTGTGGCGTGCGTTACTAGCTTAGTCCTGATTTGAAAGGGAAGATAGAACTCCCTCGCCCGCCGCGCAATCCCCACGGAGTTTAAAGAGCAAAGGGATGGAATGGCAGCTGGGGTGGCGGGTCCACAACGCGCTTCCTGGTTCAACATGTGCCCTGGGGTTTATGAGTTCCAGGGCTGATCGGTCATGAGGTTCTTTCAAACTATTGGAAAGGTTCTGCGCCAGCATTTCATCAACTAGGAAGAGCGGTGTGCTCTAGGAGGCGGGGGCAGATCCGTGGCAGACGGATTGCGTGGCCTCAGCACGGCAAGACATGTCCCGTCATTAGCGTGGCCAAGCTGGACAGCGAGTCGGCAAGGCCAGGGACAGGGCAAGACGCCCTCTGTTTCGGGCCTCTGGTTATTTAATGTCCTTTGTTTTCTCATCCGAACCCTGTCCAGAGAATGATGAGATTATCTGATGGGAGCTGTGATAAACCTAGACCCTATGATTAAATGTTCTTGGATTTTAACCAAACAGTTATAGATCCCTGTCTGATAATCATTTTTATTGATTTTTTATCACTAACTAATAAAAACTGCACACAGACAAATGTGTTCTCATGATGTACACAGTATGTTCTCTTAGACTCCTTGACGGTAAGCGTGAGATTATACTTCTGACGCCATCCTCCATGGTGTCTGCAGGCCATGGATGCCTGACAGGGTGTCCCGTGGTCCAACGCCAGTGGCTGACTCACCTGGTGCTGCAGGCTGACCCCAGCCTACAGCCCGCACCTGGGAACTCCTTCAAATATATGCCTTTGACTTGAACCAAAGCCATTTCTTCAAAAGGCAGAACCCAGACCAGGTACCACGATAGGGACCCAAGGGAAGTATGTGCCCCGCCTTGGAGCTGCCCCTGAACGCCAAGCCCAATGGATGCAGTAGTAGCAGAGCCACTATTTACTGCTTGTTGTATACCTGCCGCTGTGATGAACGTTGTGTATGCATGTCGGCTGTTCCTCTCCACAGCCCCATGGGTTACGTATATTATTCCCATTTTACAGATGAGAACACTGAAGTCCAGTGATGGAGCAGCTTGTTCCGAGTCCCCAGTGAGTGAGTGAAGGGGCAGATGTTAGGAGTGGAAGCACAATATGTCATTGTCCCTTTGCCTCTGGAGCCAGCCCATCTGGGTTTGAATCTGCTCTCCCGATCGATAACTGGTGACATTGGGACCCTGGTCAATGACTTACTCTCTCTGCGTGTCAGTCTTCTCATCTGCAGTGTGGGGTACCTATGACCATTGTTTCGAGGGTTAAATGTGTTTGTATATGAAAAGCACTTAGATTACAGCGGTTCTCAACCTTCCTAATGCCGCGACCCCGTAATACAGCTCCTCATGTTGTGGTGACCCCCAACCATAAAATTATTTTCGTTCTACTCTATAACTGTAATTTTGCTACTGTTATGAATCGTAATGTAAATGTCTTTTTGTTTTCTGATGGTCTTAAGCAACCCCTGTGAAAGGGTTGTTCGACCTCCAAAGGGGCCGCGACCCACAGGTTGAGACCCGCTGAAGAAGGATGCAAGGAACATGAAAGCATCCTGCAGTGTCTCCTGTTGGCACTGTGACATCCACAGGCATGAGGCCTCCCCACACCCTATATGCAGCGAGTCCCAGATAAACTCGTCGCGCGCGTCCCACCCTCCTCGCCGGCTCAGCTGTTCCCTGCACTTCATGTTTTCGCAGTGCTGAGCTGGGTTCTGTGCCCTGGTCATTTCATACCGGCTACGTTTGTGCACGTTTTCCCCTTTCCGGTCTTCTTGGTGAAGTTTTACTTATTTTCCTCCGTGCAGGTCCGACCTCACCTCCCCAGGAGTCTCCCCAGCATGGTCTGTCTCCCCCTTGTCGATGCCTGAATTCTCCGCACCTGCTTTTACTGCTGCCTGGACTGTCCGTCACCCCAGCTAGGCTGACTGTACTGAGGAGCTCAGGCGTTTCTATATTGACACTGAAAAGCAGGGATTGAATATGCAAAATTAAACAATACCTGCTTTTAGGAAGATATACTTTTGTACAATAAAAATAAATATAATGCAAAGCATAAGCTATGTCCCAAGAGAGAGGAGTGGGTCTATCTGTGGGCAGAGAAGTCAATTCATTTAGACTGAAATTTGAAAGGAGATGTGATGAGGGAGGGAAATTTTGACTGATGGTTGATAGTACGTCTCTCAGAGGTAGCCTGGCCTTTATAAATTTTGCCCAGTCCAGGGCCTGACCCACAGTTATGCAGATTCTAAAACAGTCCTGTCATTGTTCAAGCAGTAACCCACCCAGCCTGGGGATAGAAACTCAGACTAGCCGAGGACAAAGGCAGAGGGTAAGCCAGGCTTCTGATTTCTTCCTTTAGAGAGAGGCAGAAACACAAGGACAAGAAGACAATACTGGCACCCTCTGGCCAGGGCCGTACATCCCCTCAGGAGCCAAGTGATTGTAGGAAGCTGGGTTTGCGTGTGGAGTAGAACAAAGATGTGAGGTGAAAGACTCTGCCATGGGGACCTGCTGCGCTCACCTGTACCGCGGGGAAGCACCTGTTACCTGCCCATCAAGCCCTCGGCCTCGGTCTTCGGGGCAGCACGTTTATGGGCGCTCTGCTAATTTCTATTTCTGGACAACCCCTTCAGAAAGACATTCTTTCCTTAGATGTGGCAATGCCTTCCATTGGGCTGCCCTGGCCTGTGCTCAGTCCATTTACCTAAAGTAACTTTGAAAATTGCTGTTCTCATTCTGCTGTTGACCTTTGAGTTACCGCTTAGAGGCAGCCCCCTTTCCTGATGTTCGAGACCTTAGCTGCCCCCGATCCCTGCTGCAGGGTTAGGATTTTCAGGGGTGTGTGTAGGGGTGGGGGTGAGGGGAGGGGGGCGGCTGTTGGCATGAGCTAGAACAGCACACAACTCCACTTTTTAGATTTGGGGTCATCTGGGGCTTGGTTAACTGTCCATGCTTGCTAAACACATTTTCCTGAAAGTAGATATCAGTTAACTGGGGAGAATTACAAGAGCCTGAACTTGGTCATATGTATACACACACACGTGCACGTTTTTATACCCACACCTCACTGGTTTGGTCACACTCTAAACTTTGCTGCCTTTGTGCTGTTAGAAAGTATGAACTTGGCAGTGTGCTCATGGATGAAACATTCACTGTATCTTTACACTGCTAAGGAGTGAAGCCCATTTTAAAGGCAACATATTTCCTTTTTGGCAACTCAACAAAAGACAATTATGTTATCTTGTATATTTTAGATATTATCTAAATATGTTTGCAGATAAGAAAGTGATTCAAGAAAACTTTTAGAAATTGTGATTCTTGCTTTAGCAGCCAGAGGACTTCAGGAAACAAAAGTTGAAACCAACTAGCTTACATGTGCATTAGTTGCTGTCCCGCTTTGCATTGTCTTGATGTCTCAGTGCCTGGTTCAAAATGTCCATCTTACAGCTTCGGACTAGGAGTCAGGTCCTCCAGCCGTGTCCCGGGCTGTGCAACCTTGAACAGGGGTCATGACCTTCCTGGTCTCCGCTGTTCTGTGTGTGAAAAGCAGAGGACAGGACGTGTTCAATTCCTTCAATCTCTCACAACCCTACAGCTCGGGGAGCCTGTGAAGCATTATTCCAACAAACGGGCAAAAGCCTGAGGTTTCTAACTTTTTCTTCCCTCCCTCTTTTTTCCATCCTTCCTCTCCTTCTAACGTGTGGCAGAGTGTAAGAGGACAGATTCTGACTGAAATGGCAGGCTCAGTGAAATGCTAGCCGCCTCCCGACAGTGTGAACTTGGGAATCATGTCACATCTGAGACTCGGGCTGTCCTTCTGCAAAATGGATCTCAGAGCCCTTGCCGCTCGGGGGTGTCGTGGGGGTTAGCAGTAGTGTGTGCGCAGCGAGTGGTGTAGCTGTGCTTACTGCTAGCTCTGCTCTACCACATTGGAAAGCAAGGAGACTGAAATGACATTCCTGTTTTCCTGAAGCTACAATGTAGGAGTGGAGATAGCATGTGGTCTGATAATTAAAGTGTAAGTTATAAAGCTAGGAGAGACATTCAAAGTCACTTTTAATGAGTTCATGAACTGTGAATATTTCTGCCTGAGGGAAGGTGGGGTGGCCAGGGGAAGGGCGACAGGGTGGAGCCCATTGATCTGGTCTTGGAAGGAAGAACCAGGACTGCAGGCAGGATGGGCAGCCTGGGGAACAGGGTGGATTCTACCCTTAGAGACGACTTTTCTGGTTTTTTTCCTCCCTAGTCTCCAATCTCCAAGGTTTTGCACTGCTGCCTGGTATTTTTTAAAAGCTTTAAGGCAGAGATGTTAAATACCACCACACCCAGCCCAAGAAGTTGATTTTCTCCAGAAGGACCTGGCCAGGGGAGGTGAGAGTGCCCTGGGAGTGGCCTGCTTGACACAGAGGGGCTCCAGCGGGTGGCGGTGGCCGCTCGGGGAAGAGCCAACAGGAGCCCAGCACCTGCAGCATGACAAAAGGATGGGCACTATTCCCGCAGTCTTTCCTCCCAGGTAGCTAGGTTGACTTAGTGAGGTGTCAGGAGCAAGACACTGACACATACAGAGTCTGGAAGATGGGATGTCAGAGCAGGTCCTCGTTTCAACCTTCCTTTGCTTTTAATGTCAAAGACCTTGCTAACAGGTGAGAACCCCAGAGTGAGCTGATGACTGCCATGGAGCTAGGAGACTGCAGAAGACACACACACATGCACACGCGCGCGCGCGCACACACACAGGTAATGCAAGCCCAGGGTCACCACCCTGGATTAATCAGACAGCAGGAGTTCGCAGCTTCTCACGTTACACAAGGTTCGCGTCTGGGCACTGCCATGTGGGGCTGAGATGCTGTTTGAAAGTTGGTGTTGCTGCCTTCATACCATGGCCATATTTTGGAGCCTATGAGCTCACCCCCATCTCAGTTGCCAGGGCTGGAATCCAGGAGAAAGTGGAAGGGAGGTGGACGGGGCAAAGGAAGCACAGCTCAGCAAGCTGGACAAATTAGAACATTGACTCCGCTTTTTAGAATTCAGTTATATCATTTGCACCAAGTGTCTGTTTCTTCTTGTCCCTCCCCCCTTTCCCCTCTCCCCCGTCAACTTCTGCGGAGACCTAAGTCTGAAAATCTCTAAGCACTGCAACTCGGAAGTCATTCCCTGGGGCACGGGGCCTTTAGGTCTAGGGTTTCGAAAGTGGGGGAAGTGGAGTTCTACTCGGCTGTCCATTGTAGAATTTTCACTTCACACTGGCTTACGTTCTACCCTCACACTTTCCCCCCAAGAGGTCAAAAATGACTCCCATTTCTTCCCATCATTTGTTTCATCCTTGACTTGGTGCCCCATTGGCGGGGGGAGGGGTGGTGTCATTACCATGCTTCTAACGGGAGGGGTGTCCCTTGACATCGCACAGCGCCCTGGCCCTATGGTCCTGCCAGTTAGTCAGAGGGAGAATGGATTAATTGACTAGGGAAAAAAACAAAACAAGAAAGAGAAAAAAGGAAGCTGCTGCTTCATGTCGAAGTCATACGTAGAACGGTCTTTTACATAAAACACACGTGCGAGTGTGTGTTTGTACCTACTCGTGTTTGATACTGGCTTGTCGACTAAGGGCAGATCCTGAAATCAGAGCGCGCTGTCAGGCTTCCCGTAACTAGATCCTCAGCGTTCACTGGATGAGGCGGGAGGCTGCGTCTCACTCATGTCCACAGCCCACGGATGGGTTAATATTCTACAAGAGAAGTTTGAGTAAACTAAGACGGCTTTTGTTCACACAAAGTTTAGATTCACAGGTTACTCGAAGCCAGTATACCTGGGAACTAGTTTATTAAAAATACAAAAATCTGGGGAAAAAGCTATGGTGCTTTTTCAAATTTAGTTTTTAATCTTCATGAAAGTTACATGCACCTAGTTTAAAGAGTCAAAGTGCTCTAGAAAACTTTTAATAAAAAAAACATCAATCCTGGGTTTCCCAAAGGCAACTTTTTAGCCATTGGCTCTTTTCTAAAATACATACTTATTGTGCAAATTCTGTGTTCCTTTCTTTTTCCTAGTTGTAGACATTACCCCTTGGCCCCCCAATAGGGGAGATGGGTTTGTAGCTGTCACCAGGCCTCAGGCTCCCATAGTCCCCTGTGCCCTACTCCATTCTCCCAGCATAACTGGATCATGTCTTGATGGAATCATATTCAGTGCTTAGATTATGAAGCTGAGTCACAAAGTATGCTGTGAGTATTTTGTCCTTTCTGCCAATTTTTTCTACTTAGAATTAGCTTTTTAGTTTTTCCTTTTTGTTTTGTAAGTGTTTGTCATTACTTTATTCCCCAAACTCTCTCCATCCGTCTAAATAGTCCTCCTGATATTTGAAAAGCTATCATGAGCTCTGTCAATATCATCTGTTTTGGGAGACATCTTGCCTGGGGTCTTCTGACCTGCTGGGACTTGGACTGGTGGCTTTCCACCAGGGGCACGCGTGTTCCCAGGACCTCCCTTCTTATCCATCCTGGAGATTCGCCTTCTCTCTTGCATCGATCCCCTATTTCCTAGACCCAATCTCCCTGTCCTTGGTTTTCTTCCTCCTCTCCATGGCGCTCTTCCTCAGTTGCTTCCTGAGAAAGGGTGACGATCTAGCAGACCTCCCCATTCTCCGAGGCTTACCGTATTTGCCGGCGTATAAGACGATTTTTTGGCCCTGAAAAATATGCCTCCAAGTGGGGGGTCGTCTTATACGCCAGGTACACTTCAGATAGACTGCCCATAGTGCTTGCCCCGTGCCATAGTGGCCTCCCGATGCCCGCCCACTTCATTCCACATACCGTTCAGGCATCAGCAGCGCTGCTGGGTGTATGCTCGGCTGTTATGCGATTTTGCTGTTATGCGATTTTACCACACTCGCAAAATCGCACACAGCTGACCATACACCCAGTATGATAGCGCAAAATCGTGAATCGCGATACCATACTGGGTGTATGGTCAGCTGTGTGCGATTTTGCGAGTGTGGTAAATTCGGGTTACCGTATATTTCTTTACATATGCATTGAAGATTCGCGATTTTGCGCTATCATGGTGCCTGTTAGAATGTTGAAGAGCTCGCACTTGTGCAATAGTGAGGTCCCAGGGAGATGCTAATGCAAGGGTGGACCAGACTGCTATAGTGACAGGGCGGGCAAACAGGGAGCAGGGACCAATCAAATCAGGCTTTGTATACAGCCAACAGCCAACCACAATACTGCACCATTGTACAGTACAGCATAGAAAATGTCGACCAGTCAAACCCCTATCATCCCTATCATGGCACCAGCCAAAAGAAAGAAGTATGATGCAAATTTTAAACTGAAAGTTATAAACTTTGCTAAGGAAAATAATAATTGTGCTGCTGCAAGACAATATGGAGTAACAGAAAAGATGGTTCGGGACTGGAAATCAAATGAGAAAGCATTAAAGAGTATGCCAAGGGGTAAGTGTGCATTAAGAAGAGGCACCCCACACTGGCCAGAACTCGAAAAACATGTAGCAGACATGGTGGCTCAACATCGCCAAAACGGTTATGTGGTGACACGAAATACAATACGCTTGTTTGCACTTCAGTGGGCCAAATCAAATCTGATATTGTTTTACCTTTTATTTGGTGTGTGGAAGGTGTGCGGAAGAGGGGGTAGTCTTATACGGCGAGTATATAACAAACTCTGTATTTTGAGTGGAAATGTTAGGGGGTCGTCTTATACGCCCAGTCGTCTTATACGCCGGCAAATACGGTAGCTTTCCGCGGGCTCGGTTACCTGAAGTCAACTGTGGTCCAAAAATACTACACGGAAAATTCCAGAAAAAGAAATTCATAAGTTTTAAGTCGTGTGCTGTTTTGAGTAGTGTGCTGAGATCCTGTGCCATCCTGCCCTGTCCCTCCCAGGACGTGGACCATCCGTTTGACACGTCCATGCTGTACATACAGGACAACAGGATATTTCGAGAGAGAGCACACTCATATAACTTTATCACAGTACATTAATTGTCCTATTTATTAGTTATTGTTGTTCACCGCTCACTGTGCCTAATTTATAAATTAGATTTTGTCATAAGCATGTGTGTATAGGAAAAACACAGCACATATAGGGGTCACTATTGTCTGTGGTTTCAGGTGTGCACTGGGGGCCTTGGAACAAACGTGTCCACCGCCGGTAAGGGGGACTGCTATACATTTGGTGGTGTCTTTATTCTACCCTCACACTTAGCTAGTCATTTATCTGGGTATAGCGTTCCAGGCTGGAAATGTTTTCTCAGAGTGTTGAAGGTATTGGCCTGTATTTTAGCTGCCATGTTGTTGAGAAGTCGAAAGCCATTCTGATCATTGATCCTTTGTATGTAACTTTTTTTCTTGAAAACTTCTAAGATCTTTTTGTGAAATATATGATGGTGTACTTTGGTTTGGGTGTATTTTCATTTATTGCGTGGGCCCTTTGAATAAAAAAACACATGTCCTTCAATTATGGGGAATTGTCTTGAATTATATAATTAATGATTTATTTATTTTATTTTCTCTGTTATTTCATGCTGAAATTTCTATTATTCAGATCCTGGACCATTTGTGTGCATTCTCTATTTCCTTAGCCTTTCAGTTCTATTTTCGTTTGTCTTGCTTTTTAAACCTGTTGGGTCCTAGCAAACTAACATTGCCTTCCAGATTCTCTATCAAGCTATTCATTTCTGCTGAGGTATTTTTAATTGCCAGGAGTCTTTCTCATTCTTTTCTATACCACCCTTATTTCACAAATTCCACATCACTGAAGATATTACTGATACTTTTCTTCTTTTTTTTATGTTTTCCTCTCCTGGCATAGTCTCTATGTTTGCTTTTTGCTTATTTTGATCTCTGTATTTTATAATAGAGGCTAACCTTTAGATTAGAAGACCACTTTCCTTCGGCTCTCTGCTTACTGTAGGGTGATCATGCTGGGCCATTTCTTGGTGAAGCTCTAAAATATCACTATTTGTATTGACTGGCTATTCAGAACCTTCCAGTCTCCTTCCAGGAGAGAAAAGTCCTGCTGTCAGAGTTCTGGGAGCCTAGACAGGAGGGTGTGCCTCAAGGCCCAGTAGTTCGCCTTTCACGGAGGGCCCCATTTTCCGTGTGGCGCACCCACCCTCAGCTGTGCCTGGCATCCTGTGAGGTGGAGGACATTCGCTTGGCTGTGGGGAAGAGGAAATGGTGTTGGGGGCTCTGATGCCTCCCTAAGCAGACTTTCAACTCATCTTCTTGTTTTCATCCCTATCCTTATCCTGACTTGCAGAGGGGACTGTTCCCATAAATCCTGGCGTCTTTAGGGAATTCTACAGCACAAACCGTGTTGCTTCTTGGCTGTGTCCATTCCTGACTTAGGCGTCGGCGTTCCCAGGTCTGCCTGTTATAGGAGGTGCTAAGAATTACCTTCCTCGATAACCAAGGAGAGTTTGAGAATGGAAAATTAATGTCTACCTTTGGAAAACAATATGTGCAGATAGCATTGTTGAGGTCTACTAAATCATTGTTGTGAAATGACATCACTACCAACCTAGCCTGGGAATCTTCATATGCGATGGGAGCATTCCACAACCCTGTTGTATTCTACAGAGAATAAATTGTCTGATAGTAAAAGATGCACTGGTCACTGCGTCCACGGAGGGAAGCTGCTGTGGGGGCACCGGGGCACCGGAAGTTAGAGATGTCACTCCCTTACTGACAGGAAGCTGTGAGCCAAGGGAGGGGGAGGAGGCGCAGAAGCCACTCTCCGCCACACCCGCCCTGACACTGTCCGCAGGGAACAGGAAAGTTGAGGTAAGACGGACAGGAAGGTGTGAAAGTTGGTATCCTAACTGTCGCTGTTTTTTATACTTTGCAAAATATGAAGACAAGGGGAGATTCTGAGTAAAATGTTCAAGATGGAATCAGAGTGCTCATTGTGAAGGAAGCACCACCAGCACTCTTAGGAGCATGAGCAGACTATAGAGGCCTTTTACTAGAATGCGGATCATTCGGCAAATCGGTGTTCAATAACCCAAACATCAGAGAAACTCCTGGCTGTGAAGACCGCGCCAGCACCTGAAACCCTGGCCGGCCCCTTGTCTGCGGGTGAGGAGTGCCTACGGAGGCCTTGGCTTCCTCCAGGAAGCCATGTGGCCGCGGAGCTCTCAGGCGGTCTCGGAAGGGAAACAGGGGAAGGCATTGGGGGACCAAGAACAGCCTCACAATTTGAAGTACTTATCCCATCAAAAATGTCAGGATCAAAGGAAAAACTAATAAAGCCCTTAGTGAGTCACTAAAAGCTGCACATAAATGGGTTGAAATTCCGGTGATTCCCAAAGGAACACATTGGTTGTTTACTTCCTATTTTCTTTTTGATACTTGTAATATTTTATTTTTATAGCAGACACATCTGGTAGAAGCTGCTTTGCCCTTAGCTAAGGGCACTGGGGTAGTCTGCTGTGGCCAAGCTGTTTCACAGGAAGAGAAGGAGGCTCAATGTGGCATACATTTTCTTTTACAAACAATCTGTAAAATAAAAAAGTCCTTGTCTCAAGAAATTAATATGCTTTTTTGGTTCTTTAAAAACATGATTTACACAGGTTGTTGTGTATTTGCTTGAGTTATATAAAATGTTTACATACTAACTTTAGCTCATTAAAATACTTTAATATATTTATCTGCCATTTGACTATTCCATTTCCTTCAAGTATTAGATGATGCCATATT